TGGCTGAGTGCTTGTACAGGTTTGCCACTAACAATCCCACATAAAACAACCCCCAGTAAGCAAGTCCAGATTTTTCTTTGTTGCTCTAATATTCAGAACACACTTATACTTCTTAAGCTTGACCTACTCCTCCCCCCACCACCCTTTTTGGAGCTACAGAAAACCAAGAAATATCTCCTTGGATTTAATATTTGTTTCTTGCTGAAAAGCAATTTATCATAAGCTTGTAGATTCCTGTAGAAAGTAGAGTAGCTTCTATGGGATTTTTGTTGTATAGACCCTTGTGCAATATGGAATATTGTGGAAGATGTGGGTACAGCACTCACATAATAATAGTTAATAAAAAGTTAGATTGTGAACCAAATGAAAGCCACCAGATGTGTGATGTGGTGTGCTTTTATTTTCTGTGGTGGTATTGGTTGAGACTTCTCTGGTTTTGTGAGTTGTTTGGCATTGCTTGGGTTTTGGTAGTGGGGGGTTTCAGGTTCTTTGTGGGATTTTTTGCTGGTTTTTCTTGGGAGGGGTGTTTGGTGGTTTGGTTTTTTGTTTTGGGGGTTTTTTTTTGTTCCTTATGGTATTTTTTTTAAGTTATTAGGATTTTGAGGATTCAAATGTCCTTTGGAGGTATGAGCCAAATTGCTGATGGTAGCTTGCTCAGAGCTGCATTGATGGTGTCTGTCCAGTTTTTCCAGGCTCCCAGGGGACTGTGGTAATGCTTCCTGTCCATCTACATCAAGCAGCAGTAAAATTAGCCTGAGTGAGCCATAATGACAATACAGGAATCAGAAGAGTGCTGACCGCTCTCCAGGAGGGTCTGGTACTCCATACAGACATCATCATCCTTCAAGGTGCCAGCCCTGTCCTGACCTCTCTGCCCAGTCTAGGCAGCCTGTGCCTCTGCATTATCTGTTTGCACTCCTGCAGTGCCTGTTTCATACAATCATTTCCATCAGTCATTTCCTTCTGATGTTTTCTTTCCCTCCAACAAGAAATCAGGGTTCTGTGACTCAGGAGACAGACGGATACCTGACCTGTACAAAGAGCACAGTTGGCCCTGTGTCACCCCAAGCAGTTCACTGATGTGATCAGGGCAAGACTGGCCCCTGATCACTGCTATATTTTCCTTCCTGAGAGCACTGACACCATGCTCCTTTCCAGATCTCTGCAATTCCAGTTGGATGGAAGCAAGCACAGGGTGAAAGATGCAGAGAGCTTCGCACATTAAGGCTGCGTTATTGTTCCACTTGCAGCTTGTGATCGACAAATACTTACTGCTCCCACCTCCCAAGGGGTTGAACTGTACGCAGGAAGTAATTGTATAATATATTGTACTCTGAATAAGATGAAGGAGCTGTAATTACCCACTAGTGTCTCTATGATTACTGCTGTCAGTGCTGAGCTATTGACAGCCCAGTGGCACTGGAGCTACCTGGTAGCTGTGCCAGCATTGTCAACACCAGTCCCTGCTGTGAAGCAGAGCTGAGCATCTGTCCCTGCCCTTATTTTGACTGAGGACAGCAAGATGCAGTAGTGCCTGTGTGCAGGAAGATGTGTTGGATCTGACAGTGGGCAGGCAGAAATGAGACATCCACATCTGATGAAGTTACAGCCTCAAATTAGTGAATTCAGCCAAGCTGACAGGTGAATATGGATTTATAGGACCTGACAATCCAGTCACACACATCTGGCAGGGAAGCACCTGTCCATCCATGAGCTCCAGCTTCAGTGGACATGATGTAGCTAGCAGTTACTTCTCCATGTGCTTTGCTTTGGCAAAAGTGGCACAGAGCAGGTACAACACCCTTTGTCCCAACAGACCATCTGGGTGATGTGCTGGTTTTGCTGGAGATCATTGCTCAGAGTAGGATGGCAGAAAAATGTTAGAAATAAATGTATATAGAGTGTGGGGCTGGCACGGGAGGTGGGAAATAATGGATTTTGGGAGCTTGCCTTGCATAGGTTTTGGAAAGGACATGCTGAATCTTGTGAGTAGGATAAGGTTGGCACCTCCTTCTGACAGAGTCACAGAGACTTCAAACAGACTGTGATGTCTGAAATAGGTGCCTGAAATAGGGCAAATGACTGGTGCCTTAAATGTGCCTGTTTTCTCTGGCTATAGAGGAAACTCCATGGTGGACATGCAATAGTGGGATAATGATCCTACTCCTGTGCTGACAGGAGAGAGGGCTGTTGGTATTGTGCAGAGGTCTAGCATTAGCAGGTGCTCTGTGTGTGTGTGTATGTATTTCAGGACCCCTGGACTCAGGCTCCTGTGAGATGTTTTTTTCCAGCAAGAAGTAGCAAATTTTAGAGGCTTAGCAGAAACCAAACCTGTGCACGCCTCCATGCTGTGACAAACACACTGGTATTTCCATATCACAGAATTTGTAGCTTCAAGGCTTATTCCCAGAAGGAGTTGGAATATCAGTGCTGACTTCAAACAATTAAAATGTCATCATTAGCTACTGGGCTATGTGTCATGTTAATGCTGTGAAATGCAAGCAATATTTACTCAGGTAACAAAATGAAACTGCGTTATAACGCCTGTCACCAGAAAGTGTGAGGGAAAGGGATTTGGATTTGGATCTGACCATAAGGTAGGAGCTGGTGCTGAGTGTTTGGCTGAGCACTGAGGACATCTGCCTCGGGTCCTGCTCTCATCCTAGTCTCCCCTTCTCTTGTTCATTCAGTGATCCTTTTTCTTTCAATGCTGCTATCAAAACCCTTAGGTCTACTCAGGAGAGATGTGCACCAGCAACATTAATATTACTAAAATGCTCTGGGCTGGAAAAAAACAAAAACAGAAGGAACAGTGGTTTTTTGAACAATATTTATTTCTTGAGTTTTTGATGCTGAGTTTTCTCAGTCAAGGAGGAGAACAGCTGTTATGTTATTCCTCCACTATCTGACTGTCTGTAGTGCCAGCTTTCTTTTGGCTTTGGTGTCTCTTATCCCTCCTGCTGTCTGCAATCATTTCTTTCCTCTGTTCTCATGAACACCACACAGTCCAGACTGTCAGAGAAGAGATATTCCTGCATCTTCTTATCAGCCCTGCCAGTCTTCTCATTTCTGACTTGGCCACATCCTCCCTGGTAGTCTGAGGGTGCCAGTTTTAGCCTGGCCAGGCTTCCTCCACCTTCCTTCCAGGGACTGAGCATCAGGGTAGGGTAGGACTTGGGGAAATGCTCAGTGGCATTTAAAACATCCAGTAGATAGCTGCTTCTCCCTCAATCCATTTCTCATCTCTGATGTAACAACAGTAATCCTTAATATTATTTTTTCTTTATAAGGTTATTTGTAAGGTTGCAATATGTGGGCTGGGGTTTAATTTCCTTGCAAAACACAGGCAGATCTGCTTGGGCAATCCAGCTAATGCTGTAGGATGGTCTCTGGAAGGGATCTAGGGGACAGACCTCATCAATGGACCCAGGGCTATTGGAGATTACAGGAATGTGGGTCAGGTTGGGGTGCTGTCAGTGATCACTGTTGGATGTGCTGGTGCTGTGGGTGTTCCAGGGCCAGTGGAAAGGAGTGAAGTGACCTTGGGATGGTGGCTGGTGGGGCAATGGGTGACCTGTGTTATAAAAGAGCCAGGCATGCAGAGCTGGGTGTTTATCTCCTTCTTGCACCACAGGGTCTGGCCATGAGGCAGCACCAGATCTTCTTTGAGGGCTGATATAAATGCTGGTTTGACATCACAAAAAAAAACAAACAATGAAACATAGTAATTGTTGGAAGTTCCTAAAAAAGATTGGTAACATGAACTCATATCTGGCTGGGGACAGGGGTATAATTTTGACACAGGTCAAAAGGAAAATACATCCCACAGTATCTGTGGTAGGAATAAGGTGGGGAAGAAGAGGGAAAACATCTGCTGGAGGTATGGGCACAAGAGTGAGTGGCTTGATGGTGACTGTCTTGAGGCTAAGGGCTGTGAGGAAAGCAGTGGAGCCACAGTGGCACTGGGGCCTCCCTGCATGGGGGGCAGGAGGAAGGAGAAAAATTACGCTCATCACATTCAGCACCTTTCAGTCCTCACAGGACAGACACATGTGGACTGTGTGCTGGTAATGGTGGGGGGGAAGAGCAGGAAATTATGAGGATGAAATTACACCCAGTGGCAGACTGACATGTCTGGTTTCACAAGATGCTCTGACCAGCATGAGGCATGACATCTGGATGCTGTTTTCTACAGCCTGAGCAAATTCAGATAACCTGCAGTTTACAGAGCCCTGTCTTAATCCTGACTCTGCCCAAGTTTCTTTCAGTCATTTATTTCACAGTGCCAGCATCTCCTGTGAATGCCAGCAAAGCTGCAGCCCTGTCCATGGCATATATTGTGGCCAGAGTTTTCCAGAGCAGAGGTTTCATCCCCTCCCTGTCCAGCAGCTGGAAGGAGCACTGGAATGCTATACTTGGTGCAGAGTGTAGGATGCTCCCTATACACCTCCATTTAGTATTTCCCTTCTTCCTGGCATGAGTGCCTTTGTGAGCATGAAAATAAGACAAGTACTCTCTTTCTAGGGTGGTTTTGTGCTTCTGCCCCAAGGTACAGGACAAGGCTGAGATCTGCCAGGGAAATGGTCCCTGTGGGTTTCAGCACCCTGGCCCATGGCACAGGACAAGCTCTGCTCACAAGTGCACGGGTTAGGATGCCATCCCTGGGATGGGGTCCAGTGCTCGGCATGGCTGACACTGTAGTTGTTTGCCTGTGTCATGGCAGGAAGTGTGTGAATGGGATAAATTTAGCAGTCAAAATACAGGGCCAGCACAGTCCGTCATTAACTGCCAGCCTGTCTCGTCATCCCGCAACCACAAGGAGCTTTTCTTAGGGCCAGCGTCCTGGCGGAGGCCAGAGGAAGCGTGGGAGGCCAGTTCCTGGTGACACCTCCAGGCACAGCAGCGCTGCCCAGCGGTGCCATTGGCTGCCCCCAGCCCGGGGCTGGCACTGGCCAGTGGTTAAATGCCTGCCTGGCCACCCTGGGACACACAGACTGGAGCATTCCAACACGGGCACACAGCTCATCCCATCTCCAGCACAACAGGAGACAGGGGCTTGCAGCACACCTTGAGGTAAAGGTCTTGGCTTCTTTGGATTGATCCGGCATTGTCTGGAGGGAAAATGGCAACATTTGGGAACAGGGGTTGAAGATTTCCTCACAAGGTTGAAAGCAGGAGGCTCATCAGCTGAGATGTAGGTGTTGCTTTGTCAGGGAAGAAATCAGAAGTGCGCGTGTTCCAGTGTGTTTTGGGTGCAGAGTGATGTTCAGCGTGGTTAGTGTATCCCATAGGGATGAGGTTCTGGGCTACTTAAAGAAAATGCTTGGAAAATGAGAGCAGAGCTGGAAGAAAGTTGCTTTATCTGCCTGCCAGATAGCAGTGCTACTGGGGTGCCCACCCAGAGGGCTCTGGAGATGCAGCTCTGTGTGGGGTTATCTCATTGGGATGCTCCACTTTGGAATGGTGGGAGATTTTATACAGCTGTGGGGACCATTCCAGGTGAGAGGTGCAGCTCTGCAGCCCATGGTCTCACAGTGCTGCCCATGAGGTACAAGCTCCTGTCACAACTACTGAGCTCAGCTAGGTGGTGACTGGCCGGGAACAGGAAACTCAGGAGAATTTTCCTGCTCTTTAATGATGCTTAGACAAAAAATCCGCGAGTACATGGCTGGGTATTTCAAATCCCAAACTAAAGGGAGGTTTGTGCATAGGAAGTGCCAGGAGGTGGCACAAGTACAAATCCCTGGCTTGTTTAATGACATGCCAGACTGAGTACTGTGATTTGGGAGGGCTTTGTGGGGCCAAGTTCCAGCCAGAGACACATGCAACGGCTTTGCTCTAGCCTGCAAATATTTCATTCCTTGTTGCAGCCGCAGGGACCATGACTGACATGAGGGCTGCATTCCTGGTGCTGCTCCTCTGGGCCGTGGCCTGTGCTCACCCTGTAAGTACCCCCTGGACTGACACTCCCACCCCAAACCTCTTGGTTTTACCCAGACAAAGCACCCTGATTACTGATCAAATGTCTCCTGGGTATGTTTAGGTGCCTGGCCATGAACCCACCCACTCCAGCACCCTGCAGAAGGTAAGCCACAGGTGCTGCTGTCCCACAGGTAGCAGCCCCTCAGGGGGCAGGTCTGGGATGGGTAGCCAACCCTGGGCAGGCATCCTTGGACCAGTAACATGGGGGGATTTCCTGCTTCTGTGGGTCTTTGAGCTTTGCCTATCTGCCCATCTTTTTAAGCTAGGTTGGTTTCACCCTGTTTTGACTTGCCATCCTGAGAAAGTTCCCAGTTCACCTGACACCTTTTGCTGTGCTGGCCCTGAAAAAGGAGTTTCTGTGCTCTGAACTAGCCCAGCTTGAGCTTTTCTGAGCTGCCCTTTTGTTGGTGACTACCATGTCATTTCATATCCGCAGAAATAACTAAAGGGCTGAGGTGCAAGAAATAAAAAAGGCTTGAGCTCTTGCATGGCTTGGGAGTGAGGTCCTGCAGCAGCAGCAGTAAATGTGTTGTGGTTGGTATTTAATAAATCAAAAGCACTGTGTCATGTTTTGTCTCCAGGGTACAGCAAATGAAGATTATATCGGCAAGCTGGGCAACCACCTAGATGGTGGAGATGGCAGACATCCTCCTGCCAGTCCAGAGACAGGGGAAAATGCCCTTGCCAGGGAGCTGATGGGTGAGAATGCCATGGATGAGGAGCTGGGTGAGCTCAGTGGCCAAGACGTGGGAGGCCGAGTTGGGCAGGTTCAGGACATGAACCAGGTGGACCACGAGGACATGGGCACCCACAATGGAAATGACCTTGGTTTCCTGGTGAGTGAGTGAGTGGAGAGGAAAGTTTTGTTCCACCAGGAAAGCTCCCTTGGCCCCAGCCTGTCATTGTTCAAGGCTGTGACTGGCTTTGCATTCACCTGTTTGTCACCTCCACAGGACGTGGATGCACGTGATGCTGATAATGGTGACAGTGGAGAGCACTACAACGCCGGAGCCAATGGGTTTCCCTCCCATGGCGGTGGGTTCCTGGATGAGGAGGATGACAGTGGGGACGACACCTTCGATGCCAATGGGGAAGAGGAAAGGGGTGAAGGCCCTACCTACGTGGCTGGTGCTGATGGGGCAGGGGAGCACGAGCACGAAACTGGCCGTGGGGATGTCGGGGCTGGTGGGGGGCACGGTGAGAGCAGCAGCAGCAGCAGTGAGAGCATCGGGGCAGACCACCGGCGCTACAGGAACTACAGCTTTGGGCGCACTTACAGGCACGGAGGGGCCAGCAGCAGCAGCCAGGAGGAGGAGAGCTATGACTTCCAGGATGAAGCCATGCAGGGTGATGATCCCTCTGTCTTTGATGGCCCAGGCAGCAGCTACAGGATACGCCACAGTGGCCCCCATGCCCTGGGGAACAGCTGGGAGAGTGTCCAATGGGCTGGATCCCACCGCTGGGAGGAGGGTGACAGCAGGTCCCCTGAGGTGGAGGACGGTGACTCTGGAGAAGACAGCCCATCCGTGGAGGACAACAGTCAGTCAGAAGAGTCTGTTGACAGTCAGTCAGAGGAAAAAAACTCCAGCCACTCCAGGGGGGATGAGGATGACAGCACATCCAGAGAGGATGAGAACAGCGAGTACAGGGAGGGCACTGATGAACAGTCAGATGAAGAGCCAAGGGAGACCCCAGAGCTAGTGAGAACCTTGAATGAGCACAGCAATAGCCAGACCTGGGAAGGGCAGGAGGACTGGGATTCTGCTGAGGACAGGAGTGTGCTGTCCACACCTGACAGTGAGTCCAGGGAAGAAGAGGGTGAACAGAGCAAGTCCAGGGAAGATGATGATGACCAGAGCCAGTCCTCAGAGGACACTGTGGAGGAGTCAGAGGATGAGAATGACTCTGTGCCAAGCACATCGGCTGAGAGCCCAGAGTCCCCAGAGGATGACAGCAGCCCAGAGGACAACACAGTTGAGGACAGCAGGTCCACGGAGAGCGACAACAGCGAGTCCCAGGAAGATGATGATGACGTGGAGAGCCACTCCCAGGAGGATGCCACCCACGAGTCCAGCAGCCACGGGGATGACAGCTCCCTGCAGAGCCTGGAGAGCGGGGGCCGCAAGCGGCGGCTGGATGCCCTCCGCCACAGACCTGCTGCTGACTATGATGACAATGACTGCCAGGATGGGTACTGACCTGTGCCCCATGGCCTCAGCAGGGTGGGGGGTGTGTGGGGGGAGAGGGGGTAATTTATTAGCCATATAGCCTGGTTGACTTCTTCTCAAGAAGATGCTGTGGTTAAAACGGAGTCAGGTTCGCCAGGGCTAAGCCTGGGCACACTACACAGGGAGTGAAAGAGTTGCCAGGCACAGGGAAAATGCCAAACCACAGCAAGAAAAGGCATTTTCTCTATCAATCTGGAGAGCAGCTGAGAGCTGTGAATGCCAGCAGGGCGATGCTGCCCACAAGCCCCCAGGGACTTGTCACTCCTGGGCATGATGGGCAGAAAGGTCCCTGTGTTCACCCCTCGTGTTTACCTACCACTGCTCTAAACACATCTGCCCAGACTCCAGCTGGAGCTTTCCATTAACTCAATGTCTAGCACATAAAAAGGAAAAGCTACAGCTGGTGTGCACAGGTGGTGCATGGGCGCAGCAGGGTATGAAGTACCACTTCAGGATGGGATGTATGTAATATTTTTATTATTTTGTAAGAAATGTACAGAAAACATTATACTGTATCCTTTTTGCACTTGTATTTCAAAGCTGAAATGTACCCTGTTGATTTATTTAATCACCATTAAACCACCAAACTCTACTGTAGTGTGGTTTGAGGTGTTGCTGGTTTTTTTCTCCTGGGTGTGTCAGGGTCTGCAATTTGGGGCTGGACCAGAAGGAGCGGAAAGCAAAGGGCGGGATATTTGTGTGGGGAGCCACAGCATGCTGGAGGAGGGGGAAAGGAAAAGTGTTCCCACCCCCTTATTTCCAGGTGTGCCAAAGGCCACCCCTGCCCCTTGGCAAATCCACAGTAAGGTGGAAAATCTGGCTGATGACCCCAGTGAGCTGGGCCTGGGGCTCTGCTTTATTAGGGCCATCACCTCCTGCAATGTGAGCAAGAGTTGTGCTGCTCTTCCTGAGGTGCCGGAAAGATGTCCTAGGGCATGAGGACTCTCTGGGCCACTGGCTCTGTGCAGCCATGGTGCTCCCTGGTACCAACTTCCCTGCAGCAAAGATGCAGGTGAGCAGTGAAAAGGTTATCATGAGTAAAGCTTGCTTTACTCTGTGTGACATTTGGTTGGTTTTTTTCCTCCTATCAGCAAGTAAACAACATGTTACTTAAAATCACATTATTCTAAATCCCACCCAGACCCTTCTTCCTTGTTCATGTGTGCAGGACAAGCACAATATTGACAGATAAAGCCTTGGGCTGTTGTGTCACTGTGCAGTTTTACAGCATGATGTTATGGTTCTGCACAGGACAGTGCCCAAGATGTCAGGGTGGGTGGGTACGTTCCCTTCAGCTGTCCAGTCTCAGGGGTGTCACTGCTGAACACTGCAGTACCAAATCCATGAACATATAAAAAAATGAAATATTTTTCTGCTACTTATAGTAGAACCACTCTTAATTTGCAGCCTGTTTCCACCACTGTAAAGGCTGGGAGCTGAACAACTCCTGGGTTTTGTGGTTTTTTGGAAATCGTGTTTTATTTTTTTTATTTTAATTTTTAAATTTAAATTTTAATTTTTTGTTTCTGTATGAGATCAGCTCTGAAACTTGTGGCTTCCAAATGCTACTGCCTTCGGAATGTGCCTCTTTCCTGACCCTTCATCCCACTAGTCCCCACTTCACTGTGAATACCTCAGCTGTGACCTGGCCCTTATTTTTTGGACCCCTCTCATCAGTTGTGTGAATAGTTGGGGATGCTGTGTTGGCAGTGATGCCTGTCAGAGTGATGGGCACCAGAATTCTGGAGTGCAGCCCCACCGCTGGGGTGAAAGACAGCAAGCGTGAGTTTGGCTGCAGCCAAAAGGCCCGAGGCACATCCGTGTGGCTGTGGTTTAAGGTTGTATTATAATGATGTGTTTGCTCCTGCAGGGCGAGCAGGGCTGGGAGCTCTCCCGGGACCAGCAAGCGGCGCTGCTGCTCAGGCAGCGGCCAAGTCCCGGTGCCTCCTGTGTCCCGGGGCTGGGTCACACACCTGGGGACATCGGAGGTGATGCTTGCGCAGCGACAGCTGGTGGGGGTGGGGATAGAGCAGGTTTTTTCGGATCCCTCCAGGAAGAGGAGTGCAGCTCTGCAGTGAGCCCAGCATACTAGAAGGACGGTCGAGACGTTTCAGGGGTGGGGCGAAAGGCTTCTTGCAAACATGTACATGACCCTGTGTCCATCCTCATCCTTGTGGGAGTGGTGCCGGGGTGCACAGCAGCCTGGCACAGCTGGGCAGGGGACTGCGTGCCCCGTCCTCCTCATTCCGTGCATAGAGAGAAAAAATGGGTTTAGTGTGAGTATGAGTGCCTTGCAAGCAGGGCCCAGGGTATTCGGCTGTGCTGCTCCACACGTGGGTCCCCTTCACGTGCCTTCCCGGAGACGTGCTGCCACTGCACTAGGATCCTGGCCAGCAACATCCAACACTTGCCTCCTGCTGGCTGGCTGCTCCCCAGAAGCCAGGGAGCCGGTGCTGACTGCCGCCTGCCGGTCCTGCCAGGACAGTTTCCCATGGGACCATCCCTCCTGGTCATTGCCCTTCTCGGGAAAATCTCCTGCTTGGCCTCAGGGAGGGAGCTGCTCGTGTTGGGCCCATGCAGGGATGTGCCCAGAACCTGACAAGGACATTAGCAAGGTTTTGGGGGACACTTGGTGGCATTGCACTATCCCTGTCAAATGCTGTTCATCCATATATGAGCAGGCCCACCCTGCTTGACGTCTGGAAGGGCTTGATGATCGGCAGGACTTCACAGGGTGAGGTTTTGGATGGACAGAGGGAGTGTGACCAAAAGATGTTCTCTTGGAGGATTCTAAGGCATTTTTAGGAGTTTGTGTATTTGGTCTTTGTGCCATATGTCTGTGCAGTGTGACCATCGGAGGGGAAAACTCCTGCTCTCTCCTGCTGGGCTGGCAGGACAAGCAGCTGGGAAGGTCAGCCACAGGCTCTAGAGGTTCCTGCCTCCAGTTTCAGGATGATTATGTGATGAAGTTGTCAGGGTCAGTTTTCCCAATGGGTTAGGCAGGGATAAAAAATGGCCACGTCAGTGTATGCTTTTATTATCCACCCACACGACATTCTTTGTGTATTGGGGGTGGCCTCCAGAGCCAAATGTAGTGATTTACCCAGAAATCAGCATTGGGGTTTAAAGCAGGTATTTTTGGATCCATCTGGGTTTTTGAAAACATGAGTTTGCATCATCTTAAAAGAAAGGTTTCTTGTGTTGGCTTTTTTTTGTCCTTTCCAAGAAGAAAAAATTCTATTTTTAATAAGTAGCTGGTGTGGCTGAAGTGGTGGGAAGCAGCAGTGCTGAGCCTGGCTGTGCAGCTGAACTTGGGGCAGCCACGGCACACAGGCTGTGCTTATTCAACCCCATTATCTTCCTAGATTTGATGGGGGAAGCAGACAGAACCCTGCACTTGCAGACCACCTCTCCATCCAGCAGTGGCTTTTTTGACAGTGCAGAAAAATATCTTGGGTTTCCCATGGTGATCTGAGTTCTACAGCTGGCTGTAGGGCTTTTCCTCGGCCTGTGTTTGTCTTTAGCAAAATGGGAATATCTGTGGAAGAAACAATAATAGAATCACAGAATGGTCTTGGTTGGAAGAGATCTTAAACACCATCTCAATCCAACCCCCCTGCCATGGGCAGGGACACTAGACCAGGTTTCTCGGAGCCCCATCCAACCTGGTCTTGAACACTTCCAGGGATGGGGCACTTACTACTTCTCTGGGCAACCTGTTCCAGTGCCTCACCACCCTCATAGCAGAGAATTTCTTCTTAATATTGAATCTAAACCTTCTCTCTCTCAGTTTGAAGTCATCCCCCCGCTTGTCTTGTTACTACATGTCCTTGTAAGAAATTTCTCTTCCTCTTTCTTGTAGGCTCTCTTCAGGTCTGATAGGATTGTCTCTTCTGTGCCTCCTGTGATGGAATTCTGTGATGGGAACCACTCCTCTCCAAGCACACAGTGGGGCCAGGAGAGTTTGATTGCATTTCTCTGCCCTTTTCAATGGGGAAGTAAAACCTCTGACGGAATCACCGAGGCCATCAATCACAACAAAAGAAATATCCCAGACATGGGAAAACAGCATTTGACCTCAGTGAAACCCCAGAATGTTACAAACCTTTTGAATGCTCGAAGGAAATTTTTCTTCCAGCTCCCTTTACTGCCATGCACTTTGATGGCAAATAACTTTCCTATCCCTAGCTCAGCCATGTCCTGAGAGTTTTGTGGTATCCCCAGCACTGCCCCAAGGAGCTGGACAGCGCAGGATGGTACAAGTAAAATGCAAGTGTTAGCATCCACCTGTACTGCATCCCCCAAACACATGATGGAAACCTTAAAGCTGCAGAGAAAGCAAGTGGTTTGCAGTTCAGTTTTTTCCCCCTTTTCACACCCTGAAATGCAAAGCTGCAAAAGAGCTGTTGTATTTTGGCAGAAGGCATCAGGTTACTGAACCTGCACCTGGGAGACAGGTTCAGCAACATTTGCCCTTTCTGTCCTAGACCTGATGTTGTTTCACCTGCAGAGTAAAAAAGTAGTTTCATGACAGTGTGCAAACTTCCAAAGCCACCTTTTAAAAAACTGAAATGAGTGCCTGAATGTTCAGGTACTTTTTGCAGAAGACACATACTTCTCTATTGTGGGAATTCCAAGGACAGAAAATTCTCAAAATCTTGTGCATGCAGGCTCAAACACAGAAATGAATACAGGGTTTGACCTGAGACCTTGTCAAAGGGTTCCGAATCTAGAAGCCATAAGCAAGAATATGAGTTTGTAGTTAAATGGAAAGACATTAAGCTAGGCAGTGGAAAGTTTTAAGGTTTTAAAATTAAGATACAGAAGTAGTTATAAAGGTAATAAGAAGTTTTAAAGCATAGCAAATAGTTTTGTTTGTCATTATATGATTATATTATATAATTAGTTAAGAGATTCCACACTGCAGCAAAGACATGTAAGACAAAATAATCAACTATTGGTGTGAAAGCAGAAACATTCTTTGTGGCAGTTTATTGGCTAATTAACCTTCAAGAGACCTTGTAGCCTGTGGTCTTGTGACCACTGACATCTAGCAAACATGGTAAAGATGTTCTCAGTCCTTCATGAGACTGTAGAAGAAGAATAATAAATCATGCTTCAAGACGTCCCCCAGTGGTCCTGTGACTCTTAAAATCCCGATACTCTATGTATTTAGGCCAGTTTGGATGGGGTACTGAGCAACCTGGTCTAGTGGGAGGTGTCCCTGCCCGTGGTAGGGGATTCAGACTTGATGAGATTTAAGATCCCTTCCAATCCAAAGCATTCTGTGATTCTATGATATGTAGATACATATATCACTCTTCTGCAACTCATGGGTGTACACAGTAACAAATAACTAGTGCAAGAGCAGCAGTTCCTGCTCACACAAGCAGCACACTCTGATTCTGCTGCAAGTGGGACCTTTTTAATCCCAGACTCTGGGGTTTTACCAAGTTAGAGCAGTGTGTGCTGTGTCAGGGAGATAGGCAGCCATCACCAGTGCAGCACAGAAGGAGTGTGCCTCCACACCATCCAGATGGACACTGATTTACCTTGGTCAGAGAGCTCAGTTCCTGAGCTGGGTATGCAGGCTGTTTGGTCATTATTTCTGCAATGAACACAGGCTATCTTCTTGCTTGCCTCCTGAAAATAAGGCCTTTGGGGGGCAGGGGGGTTTAGTTTGGCTTTTTCTCGTGAGGATGTGTTTGAGAGCTCTCACAAGTGGTGGGGCGACCAGACCTGGTAACTTACTCTGGCTGATGAGGTGTTTCTTGTTCCTGAAAAAAAGAAAAATAAACAAACATACTGAGGCTATCCAATATACAGATGTTGCTCAAACATGTGAGGGTCTGCATGGTGTTGGGTCTGGGATTTGTGATAATGCTACAACCTAGCCTCAGTGATTTGCTGGCTTTTGTTCCCAGAGCTCAGGGTGCTTCAAAGTGCTGACATTACAGAGCTACTCCTGGCCCACATTTTGCCAGGCATGTAAATATAATTAATTTCCTTTTTTTGGTTTCTCCTCAGAGAAAAAGGAAAATCATATGAAACGTTGAGTTGCAGAGGGCCAAAATATAAAGGTTGTGTACTGATAATGGAGGCTGATACAAGGTGCATCTTAGATATTCTGCCCTCACACTTTTATTCTAAAATTTAATGTTAGCAAAAGAATAATAAGCTGTGTGTGCAGCTGATGCTCGTTTGCATTTGTGTTTGTGCTCTGAGAGGTAAGGGGAAAGAAGGGCATTCCTTTTTCTTATGCTGTCACTCCCTCTTCTTGCTCATCAGTTCTCTCCCCAGCTGGTGACTGTGGCACACACAGTCCTGTCCCTGACAACATGTGGGGAGAGGTGGAAGCCAGGGCAAGCTCTGCCTCAGGTAACGCCTATACAGGTTTTAGGGGTGCCCTGGCTGCTGAGCTGCATGGCAGGGGTGCTCCTTTCCTGGCTGCAGCAGCACCTTGGTCTCTTCCCACCATGCTCAAAGTGTCCTTCTGGTTTTGTTTTCTTTACTTATTTTTGGCCCTGAGGTTTCCTTTCAGAATAGCTCCAGGGCATGGAAATAAGACAGTGTGGCCTCAGCCCCGCAGTGCACTCAGAGAAGCACTCTGCTCTGCTCATTTACTGCCCTGCAAAAATAATAACTAAATTTGGACTTAGGAGCCATGTCAGCCTGAGCCAGACAGGGACACTCTGACCCTGAAGTCCCCAGGGGCTCAGGCAAGTACACCCAAACCGTACAGGGCACCCTCAGTGGGTGCAAGCTGCAGCACAAAGCTGCAGCCAGTGGCTGGTGCAAACCCCACCTTCCACTAGACCATGTTGGTTAAAACCCCATCCTTTGGAGGCAGTTATGCTGTTCTATGTTTTGTTTCCAGCAAGGTGAGATCATTTTCATGAAGATTTCAAAGCCTGTAATTTCTTTAAATAACAGATTCCTTTCAAACAAAGGGGTGATCACTCCAAGCCCTGCTGCCTTGGAGAGACAGAGTTCTTGCAAAAGCATTAAGAGAGCAAGACCAATGCTCCAAGCTTGCCATGTGATGCTTTTTAAAGTAATAATAAAAAATAAATTTCAAATAGAAACGTTTTGGATATGCTGGCCGAGTTCCCTGCTGATCTCCTGCCATGGTGTCAATGAGGTTGCTGGTCCTCAGGGCCTACCCGGGCAGCACCCGCTCCAGGAGCTAAACATAGGTGCTGGCTGCACAAGGCACTTGGGCACACATTAATTATCCTGGTGCTTTTTAGGGATCTTGGGTGAAATATGTGTTTTTATAGTCAGTTTTACCTTTTTTTTAAAGCAGCCTGGAGCAGAAGCCCTTTAATTACATTAAAAATTGCCTCCCACCAGGACTCTCTGTTCCCAAGCCCTGATGAAATTTTAGGCTCAAAGTCGGGTGCCTGCTCACTGCTTTCCTAGGCCAGGCAGCTTAGGACAACAGGGGACAATGGGAAGGAGGGCCATATCTGCCCAGAATGCCCTGCATTACTCCCAGCAGGGCAGCCCCTCCAGCTGCTCCAGCCCCATGGAGATGGGGGGACGTGGGAATCCTCACAATGCTGATCTCTGTCTATATCAGAAGCTGCTGCGTTGGCACCGAAAAACTGAATGGCTGGGGTTTCTTTTTTTTTTTTATTTCTTTCTTTTTTTCTTTTTTTTTTTTCTTTTTTCTTTTTTCTTTTTTTCTTTTTTTTTTCTTTTTTTTCTTTTTTTCTTTTTTTCTTTTTTTTTCTGTGTGTGTGGGTTTTCCTGGCACAAGGCATAAGCTGAAAGCCACGACCAGCTCCAGGCCTCCTTTATAATTAGGACTCTTCACAGAGTGAAGCCCATGGGGCAGCTGTGTCCAGGGGCTGCATGGTGAGCATGTGGCATGCCCTCCTGCCAGGGGTGCCAGACCCTTGGGAGCCTATGGGGGACCTCTCCCTCCCCAGAAACAAGGAATTTGCATAGTGTTCCATCAGCAATTATCAACTCCCCATTATGTACCTGTCAATGCTGGGCTCCCCTGCATGTAAGTGAGGCTGTTTGTGCCCCTAGTTTTGAGAAGAAACATTCAGATTTTTCATGGCAAAGTAGATTTTTCTGTCCTAAATAACCACAGTTTTACCACTGGCTAAGCTGACCTTTACAGACCTGCCTGAAGGCATTTATTTTTCAGCACCTCTGTTCCATCTCCTAGGGCTGTAGGGCTGAAAGCATCGAGTGGGAATTACAGGTCTCCTTGCCACTGTGGGAAGCAAAGTTGCATTTGGTGAGGAGTCATTCCCTGAGCGGCTGCAGCTCAGACGTGCAGGAGCTTAGGGGCCTTTGCTGAGGAGTGTAAGAAAAATTTGGGAAAGAGGGAGCAGAGGTGCACTGGAGAGCTGGGTGGCTGAAATCCAAGCAGGAAATGATAAATATAGGTAAAGAAGAAAATACATCCCTGCAGAGGTGGGTGCTGGGGGCAGCATCCGCTCGCTGTATCCTGCCATCAAGGTCCCCAGTGTGATTTGAGTGCACGTGTGGGTGGGGCTTTTTCATTTTCTCCCCAGCCCCAAGTAGTTACTCTGCTTTGCTGGGGACATACGCAGATTTCAGCTGAGCTATGCCTGATTTTTGAGAGCAGGGGACTGGACTGGCCCCTGTGTGGGTCTGCGTAGTTTGCAGGGCATTAGAAACAAAGCAGAAATGCATTTTGTAGCAACACTGTGGTGGAAATGGCTCTCAAATGGTGACACCTGTATCTGAGTCTACAGCAGAGGATTTGTCACATTGTAAAACAGAGTGCTGGTTTTCCCCTCTGAATATATGAAGTTTGTGACCTGGGGGCTGTGAGTGCTGCCAGCTGGGGAAATAAGCTCAACTGGAGAATTTAAGAAGGCAGAGCATCCCACTGTCCCCAAGCACTGTCCCCTTTTCTTTCCCTGCCCTTACCAAGGCCTCTGCAGGCAACCTGGAGAGGGATTTGCTTGGATTTAGCTTTTTCTTTGGTCTAATGGCCCTGCCCAAGTGGCTATGGAGCCGGGCCTTTGAGGTTGGTCTTTTTGTCTGCTTGAAAAAACAGTGACAGAATTTCCCAAAAAGGGAGGTGGATACCCCCCAGGAACAGATTTCCAAATATTTATTTTAATTAAAACCCAGAGTGTTATTATACCCTTGGCATCCCAGCCGCTCATCTGAGGCCAGACCCTCAATTTAGCGGTGCAGTGCAAACCTTGCTGGGTTTGGCAGCAGCACAGGGTGCTATGTTTGTGCACCAAATCTGCCAGCGTTGAAGTTTTGGAGGGTTTTTGGTGCATGCTGGAGGGCTGGCGTCACTCTGGGCAGGGCGGTGACTGGCTTGGGGGGGGGCAAAGCCAGACCTTATATCCCAGCACAGCAGCTGCAGGAGGAAATCTGTGCCAGCTGACTCCGTGGGTAGCTCTCGGTGCTGGGGCAGGGTAAGCTTGGTGCTGCTTTTCCCAGTTGGGTTGTACATTGATGTCTGTTTCTTGCAGGGGGATGGTGAGGTTCAGCTTGCTGGCAAGACAGGGTGCTGCTTTTAGTCCTTTCCTGGGTCTGTGGCTTCATGAAGTGCTTGGGTGGAGATGAGCACCCAGAGCCTTGCTACAAGGTCAGGGAAGCTTGAGGCCACTTATTTTCTAGCCTGAGTTAAGCAAAAATAAGGAAACTTCAAGCACAGATAAATGTAATAACAATTCCCTACAAGCACAGCTGATACTGGGTTTAGGCAGAGGAAGGGTAGGAAAAAGGAAGATTTGTGGGCCTGACTGAACCTAGGGGGATGCTGGGAGCATTGTTCCCTGGGGGAAGGCTAAGGTGCTGCTGGGATGATTGGGTGTGCTCCTTGCTCCTTGATGGAGGAGGGCAGGCTGTGTTTTGGTGCTTTGGGTGTTTAGCTCAGACCTGCCCAGAGCCAAGTCCCCTCCAGCTATGCCTGTGGGGGGCTCTTTGCATTGGTGCCTTGCCACTGCTATCTTTGCCAATTGCAGGCTGTAGAAGCCAATTATTTCCATTATTTGTTTCCCTGTTTTTCCTCAGTGAGGTTAAACTGTCCGTGGTGTTCCCAGGAACACTGCTCTCTGGGTAAAGCCCAAGCAGGTCTTGAAGCTATGGGACAACAACCACAGTACGCAGTGCTTCTAGCTGCTCCTGTTGCATCTTCAGTGTGGCTTGGCTTTCTCCCCTCCCTCAAAGGCAATGGGGAAGCAGGAATAAGTTGTCCTGCTCCAGAAAGCTTTGAGTCCACTACATGGTGAAACTTGCTTTCCTGGTATTTTGTGGCTTCTGGAAAAAACAAGATGTATTCATGGAAATTGAGGCAGATCCTAAAAAAAAAAAAAAAAAAAAAAAAAGAAAAGAATAGAAATAATTTGGTCTACAAAGGAGTTGGGTTACCCCATTAAGAAGTGACTAGAGGTCAGCCTTTCTTCTCCCCACTCACCCATGTGGACACTGACATGTGGATTTGGAGTGGTGTTGGTGCTCTTGAGCTGAAAAGCAAGCCCTCAATATGTTTCAGTGTTCCTAGAGACAGCAGCCATGAGGACGGTCCTGGTGTTTGCCTGCCTGGTGGGGATGGCGTGTGCCTTCTCGGTGAGTGCCAGGTGAGGGGGGGATCCCCCCCCGCCTTGCTGGGGCTGGTGTGGGGCTTGTACCAACCCACCCTTTCCCCCAGGTCAAGAGCTGGCTGTGGCGACCCAAGTTGGATGACTCAGAAAAGAATGCGGTAGGGTCTCCCCCACCGCGTGTGTCAAGTCCCACACGGGGCTGATCTTGAGGAAGAGCACATTTTGGTGGCTCCTGTACCCAAGGCCCCAGACTGATAGGATTTTCCCCCTCCTTCTCCCGGTAGGTTTTCAAGAGCCGGCGCCACCATTACCTGTACAGATATGTGTATCCCCCGCAGCGACGGTACCAGGTGGGTGCTTCCAAGGGGTTGCTGCTGCTTTGCCGTTCTCCAAATGCAGAGATTTTGACCCAAAAGAGATGGGGGCACGGTCTGTGCCCTGTTGGCATGGCTTGTGGGCCTGGGCACAGATCATTGTACTCATGACACCACTGGGAACCCACCCACCCGCCTACAACTTGGTTTTCCCTCTTCTTAGGGCAGTGACTCATCCGAGGAAGAGGGGGATGACTCGGAGGAGGAGGAAGATAGGGTGAGTATGGCAAACCAACAGCCTGCAAAACAAATACGGGAATTTGGGAACTTTCTTTGGTTTTGTAGTCTCTGCTCAAAGCATTTGTGGTCACTGACCACCCACAGACTTGCACTCTGGATACAACTGGATTTTCTACTCTGGGGCTTATATTATTATTTTTTTGTTGATTTTTTCCTTTTGCTTTCTTTTTTCTTTCTGGGTAGAGGTTGCATGAAACAACCCTGAGACAAGTTCTCTGGGTCTTCATTTCCAGTGCCTCAGAAATGAGCAGGACAGGCCAAAGGACAGAAGCAGGGAGGTTCACACAAGGAAGAAGGTGCTGTTAGGAACTCTTCTTGCCTTCTTCCCCTCTCAGGGTCTGTTGCCCCTATAGCACTGAGAAAATCCCTATGGAAAATCCAGTTATGCTCTGCATGTGTGTCTGTGGAATGACACAAACTGATGCTATATTGGGAAAGTCAAATTTGTACCAGTCAGATGGTGAAGCTGCTCCTGTCTGCTGAATCAGTATGAGCTTGGGCACTTTTGTAGTTGTGAGAATCACCCAGGTCCAAACTTAAATGTGAGGGGTTACAAAGACCTTTTGTGTCTCATTGGGCTGCAAATGCTCAAAAATAATCCAGTGGTCTCAGGCACACAAGTGCTTTGAAATAAGGATCTGGTATGCTTAGAAACCTCTGTGGCAGGCCTAATCAGGTCTTTTATTGTTTGTTTTTTTTAAGTTATTTAATGACAGACAGGGAATCTAGTTTTAAACCCCATTTTGGAGGCCTGTCAGGGCTTGGGGTATAGCATCAGGTGTCCCATGTGTCAGCCCTGGCACCTCCCTGCAATTTGCCCAGTTTTACCTGTTTTTCTCCCCTACCACTGCAACCTCTAGGGATAAATTTGAGTAGTGGGATGGGCAGCAAAGGGTGGAATTTCATTTCTCAGGAAGAAATTAAGTGGTATGCAGGAATGTAGCTGCTCTTTAGGTCTGCCCTTTTCATTTTGAGGACACCAGAGCAGTGGCTGTTCCCATACAGGGATGTGCCCTCATTGGCAGGGTGGGCAGCGAGAGGAATTGTGCTGAAAGGTCCCAAGGTCAGTTACAGGCATGTGAAAAGCACTGTTATATTAACTGCTGGATGGGGAGCATTGCTTCCGCTGGCACAGCTGGCTGCACTGTGAAATTTGATGGATCTCCCATTGGAGAGAAGAGCAGCCTGGACTTTCTCTGCCATCAGGTGCACCCGTACTTCAAGGTCTGAGGTGGCCCAAAATGCCAGAATAGGTGCCTTGGTCTTGGTGTGCGAGCAGCAGGGATTGCCCAGGGCAGTGATGACACTGACCTCAGGTCTCCCTGCCATGGCTGGGCTCATTTTCTCCACCTTGCAGGCTGGGCACTGGGTGAACTGCCCCACCAGTTCCTCAGTGGATGCTCCAGGCTCTGTTTGCATTTGGGTTATTCTTTTTTTTTAGCCGTGCACACCACTGAGAGCCCTGCTCTGCTGCTGATCTCAGGAGCCAAGCATTGCTGATTGCTGATTGCTGGTGGGGTTTGGGCTCACATCTGGCTTTGAGCCATCACATTCTCAGTGACCATCCACACATGATGTGTAGTGTGTCCACATGTAGTGTGCCTGTGGCTTTCTTTGTTTATGGGAAACTGGGAGAGGGAACTTCAGAAAAAAACCTTTACATGCTTTGCAAAGCAAAACATGATTGCACAGTTCCAGTTGCCCTGCTGCAGCTTCTCCATTTCAGCCTGGAACAAGTCCCATGGGAAAGCAGGGAACTCAGATCAGTGCCCAAATGCTGTGTGTGGATGCTCTGTACCCCTCTCACTGCTGGGAGGCCTGCCCTCCACTCCAGCTGCTGACCCCCTGCCCTGTCCTCTCCCTGTCCCTGCAGGAGCCATTTTATGCTGGCACCAAGGCAGCTGGACACCTTGCTGGAGCAGCCCCTGAGGAGTGCCAGGGTGCACTGGGAGGAGACGTCACATACCAGCAGGTGTGGTTTGGGGAGCTCAAGGGGGCTGTTCACTGCATGTTTGCCTGCACCCATGGGATGCCCTGCACCCTGTTTCTGCTTGGGGGGCTGCTGTCGAAATAGCTATAGCTGGACCAAGCTCTGGGCATTAACTTGGGTTTGGAAAGGGTACCCCAAAAAGACAGTCCTGCCATGTAAGGTGTGGGAGGATACTCAGCTGTGCCCATACTTGTCCCTTTCCACTTGGAGCTGCAGCCTCCTAAATCCAAGTAATACTGAGTGGTCTTCCCTCTGCCAGGGCAAGGGCTGTCAAGGAACCCTGAAAGGGATCAGGCAGAGGACTGCCAGCAAGGGGGAAGACTCTGAAAATGAAGACAGTGATGAGAATGAGGAGGAAGAGGAGGAAGAAGAGGAAGAAGTAGATGAGAATGAGAATGGTGTCAATGGCACAAGCACAAATACCACAGAGGGTATTGGACCTAATGGCAATGGCACTGTGGTGGCTGAGGAGGGCACTGGTGAAGCTGAGGAAGAGGAGGAAGAGGAGGAAGAAGAAGAGGAAGAGGAGGAGGAGGAGAAGGAGGAAACTGAAGCCACCACCATTGCAAGCTCCACCAACAAAGAGGGTCTGACCCAGGCAACGACTATGGATGATGGGGGACCCACAGATGTCACCACAGATGCCACCACAGCTGGGGAGCTGTGGGAGTACGATGTAACAGCCAGGGACAACAACCGATGGGATGAGGGCACCACCGAGGGTGGGTACGAGGAACAGGATGAGTACGCACGTGGGGACAGCTACCGGGCCTACGAGGATGAGTACGGCTACTACAAAGGGCATGGATATGATGTGTATGGCCAGGATTACTACTACAGCCAGTAAACAGCAGGGAAAACCCTGGTGCTCTCCCTGCCTGCCCCAGCCACTCAGGAAGGTGCATCCAAAGGCTCCCTGGAGCCACTGCATGCCAGAGGGGATGCCAGGCAGCTTGCCATATGCACTGGCTCCATCCCAGGGTTTTTTTTTTGTTTGTTTGTTTGTTTTGGTTTTTTGGGTCTTTTTTGGTATCTTGCAAAGTGAAATGAAATTAAATAAAGCAACTAAAGTGAGCTTGTTGGTGACAAAAGGTTTGGTGCCAAATTTTCTGGGGTCAGTGGGGCAGCACAGCGCTTGGTGAGGGGCTGAGTGGCTACGGTTGCCCATGATGCTTAGGGCTGAATCTTGTTATTCCAGCTCAGATGAAAGGAGGGAGGAACAGCAAGGTTAACTTGGAAAGCCTCTGTAGAGTTCCCTCTGAAAAATTAAAGGGTGCTCTTAGGGACACTGCTGTGGGATTACAGCCACATTTTATGTAAAGTTGATGTGAATTTCCAGTATGTGAGCAGTGATAATTTACCACATCTTCCATTCCTTGGTAATGTGCCTGACCACACACCAGGCAATGTTAATAAGGGTAAAACCACTAATTTCTCTTTCTATGCATCACTAGCTGTAGGTGTACACCCCTGTAATAAGGGCTTTGCTTCTTCATCCCTGCACCAGGCATGTGGGTACAAGGCTGGGCAACTTGGATGTGTGTCTTCAACACCAGTACTGCAGCCCAAAATGTTCCTGTCCCACAGCCTCATTCTCAGAGCAAGGTATGGCTGTCACAGTGACAGTGGTGCATCCACTCCTCTCCTCCATCAGCAATGGGGATGCCTGGCTGGGAGTCCTCAGGATCCCTGCTCAAGGTCACTTCCCAACAGAATTGTGTCCCTGGCCAACTGGTTATCTGCATTATGGATAGGGGTAGAACAAATCCCACTTGGTTCCAGGCAGATGACACCATATGGGAATAGTGATGACCTTCATGCACAGTACCCTGCTGTGGGTATGTATGACAGATACCCTACTGCTCTAGCACTCCTAGGAAGGAAACCTGAGTTCAGCTCCTGATGCAGGTCCAACTGCAGAACTAGTCTATTCCTGCAGCAGCAAGTCACCGGCCATTGTACAAAACTGCTTCCATACGTCAAAACCAGGCTGCAGCTTCTGGGGAGGCAGGAGATGTGGCCTGCACTGTGGGCACCCCCAGCAACAAATCCCTATGACGGCACTGGGGAGCCCTGCAAGGACTCATTGCTGGTGTGGAGACACGAGAGTTCCATCATCCGCATCCCCAGGGGGTGTCCAGAGACGTCAAGGAACTGGCATGGGCAAAGGGCCCTGGCACTGCCAGGGGCCAGGTCCTGCTCCCACAGGGTGCATAGCCCAGTCCTGTGTGCGTCAGCCCTCCAGGTATCTGGCAAAGGCTCGCCTCCAGGAGCCAAGGCTGCCCTGTGGGGTGGCTTCTGACTGCCACTCCCAAGGGTCTGTTTCCTGCCGGCTGCAAGATCTACTCCTGCTTGAGGCTGGAGGATGCTGATGGTTTAAGTGTATCTGGTGATAATGCAGCAGTCGTGCCAGCTCCCAGGGTTTGGGTTAGGGCAGAGTAGGGAGTGGGATGGGAGCTGCTGTCACCACCACCACAGTGAGTGCCTGAGCCAGGCTGGCCACAGCAGTGGGAATCCTTCTTGGCCAGGGTGTAGGTGACCAGTAGTGCCACCAAAACTAGAGGTGGGGAGAAGGGGAGTTTGTACATCGTGCACACCCTTGCAGCACTTCTTCATAATGAAATTTGGCTCAAAGGGATCTGTGCAAGCAGTGCATGGAAAAACATACATGTTTTTTTTTTGCTTTTTTGCCACTCTTCTATTTTGCACTTGCACAGACTTAGCTCAGAGGGTTGAGGTTGAACCCCAAAAAGCAAATGTCAGAAGACACAGCATAATGGTGGCTCTCAGCTTGGCCAACTTTGCCCTTCTGTGCCAAAGGGCCAGGACCAGGCCTGGCTCTGGATATTGCCCTTCTATTTCTGCCAGCTTTCCCATGTTGGTCACAGTAAGCAAGCCAAGACCCACTGCACGCTCTTATCAATAACCAAGCTGGACATGTGCCACACTAAGATCTGTGCTAATCATCGGGCAATTTTGCCTTCAGAACAGATATTTATAAACTTTGCTTTCTGTTTATCCAGCCAGGTGGAACATTTGATAGCTGTCTTTTACCACAAACACATTTTTAGCTGGAAATTACTCCCCCTGGTTATCTGCGGGTGCTGCCAGAGCTGACAAATGTCCCTGGGCAGGAGCTGATTGGCTCTGTGCACCCGGGGCCAACTTTAAATTTCAGTAAAGTGGGCACAGGCTCCACAGGGACCTGCCTCTGACGAGAAAAGGTAATCTTCTTACCCAGCTTCCTGCCCTGTCTCTTCCTAGCCCTTCAGCTCTGCTGTCCCTGAGTGGGGATTCTGCTTTCACTCTGGGCAAGCCAAAGTGGGGATGGGGACATCCTGATTCTTGGCTGTGCACATCTCTTGAGCTTACATTGCTTTGCACTGCTGATCCTTGTGCATGGATTTCCTTCTGCTGTTTCCTGTAGCACTGCTGGTATGGCTGAAAACAGTCTCTGGGATGGACCTCCAAGGCCAAGCAAGGGTGGTTGGGTGAAATGAGAATTATTGGCCAATGGAGATATTGCCTCCTGCCATTTATGAGTGCTGTGAAATCCTGCTGCTTTCTTAATTCAAATTTATGAACATCTTAGCTTGCAGCAGCTTTGGGGGATCATTTATTGAAAATATCCATCCAAGCTGCTTTGACAGAGGGAGTTAGGAAGTTTTAATAGCCGGTGGCAGAGCACCCACTCAGAGCTGCTGGCTGTGCCCTGTGCACATAGTCCTTCTTCAGAGGAATGCAGAGAGGCAGGACAATGCCAAGGGCCGCCGCAAAGCCTGGGAAAAGCCAGGGTCACTGGAAAACCCTGCTGCCATGGGAGCTTTGGGATAGCGGGAGCTTTTAGGTTGCTGCTAACCAGAATTATTGAGGACCACAAGTCCCAGGAAGACAACCACAGCAATGCTTCACTTTGTGCCTCCAGGAGCAGCCCAAGATGCAAGCATCCCTCGTCTGCCTGTGCCTATGCCTGCTCAGCACAGCCCTCGCCACACCTGTGAGTATGGCTTTTCCTGGGTTCCCAGCTGCAAGTGTGGGATGTACTATCTGGTCCACCCCAGAATGCTTTCAGCAGAGAGAAAACATGGGTTGTAGTTGTGTACACCACCTCTGGTGCTTGGGGAGGGCATTAAGGCAAACGGCAGAGGTGAGCCCAGAAGGAAAAATATATGTTAGCACTGAGGTGGCTGAGCATGTCCCTTCAGTTTAGCAATCAAGGCACTGCATAAGTGTCCGTCTGGGTGGCTGTACCTCTTCCCCTGGATTTCCATGGGTCTGGGATCTGGCCAGTGCTTTTGGCTTGCGAATAGCCTGAGCCAAGCCACAGGAAGAGGCTTCCCACAAGTGTGGGAAGGATGCTCATCTTACCTGTGTGGGGAACAGCGGTCAGAGGGGTGCCTGCAATTATTTTCCAACTCTCCTAATGTGAAATTTTGAGAGATGTAACTAAAAACACAGCAATCTACGATGAATCTAATAGCAGCCATTTTTGTCCTGCAAAACTGTTGCTCAGTGTACTAAATACACAGCTAGAGTGAAAGTTTCCTAGAAAAGGTTTGCTTTATTTGTCAGGGTAAGGAGGAGGGAAATCCTGTCTTCCCTGAGGGATGGGCCTGGGCCCCTCTCATATGTCTTTTGCCCCCCCAGAGCAAGCTCTCACAACCCAGTCTGTAGCAGGGCAGCCCAGGGGAAGGCAATAAATCAGCACAGATTTGCTTTTCAGATAGGGGCACAGAAGGGAGTTAATACTGTGCTGTGTAACCAGAGCTGTAATCCAGCCTTTGATACTGTTCACAAACAATTAAACAACCTGGGAATATTCAATACTTTGGGGTGCATTTCTGCTCCTTCAACTGGGCTTGGGATATTTCAGTGACTAATTTTGCTGAAATCAAAGAGGACTCACCTCCATGGGGCTGTCTCTCAGTCTGGCACATAGGGAATGCCTGCAATGGCTTTGTGGGGCTCACAGGATGCTTCCACCAGAAGGTCCCCCAACCCTGAGAGATGCACTTGCCAATACCCACCAAAAAATGCCAGGATAATCAGGGAGAGCTGGAAGCCTGCAAGCATGTACAGAACCCCGTCCGTGAGAACACGAAGGTTGCTGGTCAGTAGCATAGTAAACACTGGGAAACTCCACCAGTTAACCAGTTCCAGACTCCAATCACAGACAAATCGAAGCAGTAAGATGAAGCATTATTTTGTGAGCAATGGTACTGTGTATTAAAAATGCTCTGCAATAAAATCCTCTGCAGCAGTCTCCAGGAAAAGGTTATGTGCAGACCAACAATACCCTACGAAATCTAGCATGCAACACAATCATGCTGTAGCAAAATTCACAATACTTTTTGGACCCTGGAAATGGGGATTTGGCCTTTTCTACTACTCCTGTCTTTAAGTCAGTACCCCAGGTAGTGCCTGGGAATTTATTGGCTTATCAGTGCAGTTTTCCCACCCTTCCCTGAACATTGGGCAGGGTGGGTGGCCAGCAGTGGGCACTGGCGCCTGCCTGGATGCTGGGGCACTGTTTGATGCCTCAGGTCTTGCCTGTGTTTTGCTACCCACAGGTGCCACCACCGCTGCCAGGGAGAGCTGCTGGGAACTGTGTGGGACAGCACCGGGTATGTATCCCTCTGCCACTTCCTGGAGCCTCAGTGGATACTGGAGGGACCCTACTGCAGTGCCAGACACAGAAAGGGAAACTCCTGCCAATGCAATTAATAAGAAAGTTGTGGGTTTTGGTTATTTTTTTCCCTGCCAGATACTTCTGAAGGGCTGCAATGCCAAGCATGGCTTCTACATTTTCAAATATGTCTACTCATTCTCAACGCGGAGGAACGAGACACAGATAAAGGTGAGGAGGTGGCCAGGGGACACTGCAGGACCCTGGCCTGGCTGTGGTGTCCCCAGCAGCCATCCATCATCCTGACTTCTTCCTTGTGTGTACTGCACAGAAAGAAGAGGCTGACCACAAGAATATCATCCCCAGCCACCGGCTGGATGAGGACAATGCCAGGCAGGAGCCACC